CTCTTTCCTTCCAGGTCCTGGTCTGCCTCTTCATGTTTGTTGTGTCTGCATGTGACAGGGCTCCTGTCACACCATGCTCACCACCTCAACTGAGATGGTAATGACACCCGTGTGGTTATGAGATAAAATCTGGCACATATTTCTCTGTGCTTCACTACTGTTAAGAGAAAAAGAAAGAAAGAAAGAAAGAAAGAAAGAAAGAAAGAAAGAAAGAAAGAAAGAAAGAAAGAAAGAAAGAAAGAAAGAAAGAAAGAAAGAAAGAAAGAAGAGAGGGAAGGAAGGAAGGAAGAAATGTTTGGAATGGACAAGAATTCAAGGAAGGAAATGTGAACCCAACTGTTAGGACAGCAGGACAGCGATTTAGGAAGAAATTCTGTGTATCGTAAAGATATTTTTCAGCTGCCTCAGGCAGTGTTTACTTCTCACCACTATCAGAGATAGGATTATGGACTAGTCTGAAAATCTGGCCTAGTCTTAAAAGCTCCCATATTTCATTGAGAAAAAGAACATTTCTTTCTTTCATTTTCCCCATTGCTTTTTCACCAGTGGAGAGATGTAGGCATCTTCAGCCATGATTCAAGTCAGCCTAATTAAGTAATAATTAGGATCTTCATTTAGGCACTGGAACCATTTTTAGAAGCAAGTCTTTCCACTGACAGTACAGGGAGCCTAACATAGTCTATCAAGAAAGGTAGGGTGAATACACCCTTAAAATACACTGCAGCAGCCGTTCATTTTGATGCTGAGACTCCTGGSACTTAAACATCTCTTTGGAGCAGATCAAGATGAAGAAAAGGAGAGGAGAWTCTCTTAATCCTAGAGAATAACTGCCTTGTTTAGCTTCTGGGGCAAACAAGGACTGACAAAGAAGTCACATTAAGCCTTTCCATTTCACTCTCTCCCTCCAGATCTGAGGTGTAACTCAGAAGCTGTGATTCCCCTGGCTTGTATCACTGAATGGCAGCATTCAAAGCAAGACACATCCATTGGCCTTTAGCCTTTTAAAATCCTTCAAAGATTTCTTGAATTTTTATGAAAGTAGATGTCTGAGTGCTGCAAAAACACCCTGTTAGGGCTTCTTCTAGGCTGAAGGGCCTTCAAAAGCAAGATCCTATAGAGGTACCAATGTTAAGTGGGGACAGGGGACTGCACTTGGGCATCCTACTCAGTGTTCCCCTCTCAAGGATCCTCAGGTATCTGATAAAGCACTGCCCCTCGCTGGCTTTCTCTGCCCCCTTCCTACCTTCTGTGTCATTAATGCCTAAGAAGCTAAAGAGCTGCTCCTGGTGCAGCTTTAGTTTAAATCTCTCTAAAGGTCAAGGAGTCAGCCACAACAAATAAACTGAACAAAAAACAGATTTTATTAGGCTTTTTAGAGCTAAATGCTAACAAGCATCAGTKTTGTTTTAAAAGGGACTCAGACTCACTACATAGTGAATCTCACTAAATTACAGATTCACAAAAGGGATTAAGCAAAATGGTCCAAAAGACCAGGTTTGAGACCATGGGCATCAACCAAATGTTCTAAAATTCAAGGATTGCAGTGTAGAGCAAGTGACTATAAAGTTCAGGTAATTCTGTAAATGAATAAAAGTGTCAGCCAGCTTTTCCACTTTCTGTTAAGGGACAAATACTATAGAAGAAATATAAAGACTGAGAAATGTAAAAGCTTGAACCACACAAAACTATTTGTCTTCGAGGCCAGTTGAAAGGAAAGGATAAAAAACAACCATATGAAAACCCTCTTTTCTCTTAAACATACAGCTGTTGATTGTGAAACCTTGAGAGGATCCTTCACAATTTCAACATCTCTTGCACATCTCAGTTAAAAAAGTAACATCTGATGACCCATTTATAGAAAAAAAGAGAACTGCTCCTTGATTTTTTTTAAAAGAAAACAGATTTGCTTGCCAGAAGTTTGCAAACCAGTACATCCTTCTTCAGGCAGGAAGAGGTATTTCAGAGCTTCTTCTAGTGGTGCCAAATTCATGTAGCATTATTCGTGATGTGATAATCTCAGATAGCACTTGCATCGTAAGATATATGGTAAGTCACCTTTACTTTTTTCTTCCCTCTTTTTGGTATTTGTGGATTTAATAGTTGTTTAAGTAGCCTAATTCCAGATGTGAAAAATACTTGTGGAATCTTGCCAATGCACTGATCTTGAAAAAGTGCCCTAGAGAAATRCATAGGATATGTTAAATTTAATGAACTACTTTTAAAGGACAGAACCACCAGAAGATTTGAGTAGGGAAACAAACTTACAGAGGGTGATTGGGGTAGGAATGTAATGAAAAATAWGTCTGTTTGATGAACATATAAGCTTCTTTTTCCCTGAACATGATAAAACATGATGGAAATTTGTAATTTCAAATCATTTCTGCAAAGGCAAAACAGTTGATCTGAACAAAGAGACGATGCACCTCTCGCAGGATGACCACAGAAAATCTGATGCAATTTAAACAGCCTTTCTCATAGCACCTGTTTACATGCTACACAGCATAGCATTTTTACTTCTGCTTACTGCACATTTTTAATTTTTACTACTTTACTGTGCAAATGAACTACGACTGACATTTTAATAAAATCTTTTTGAAGACAGAGAGTTTTGATCTGAAACTCAGCATGAATCAGTGACATGTGAGTTTGCTCAACTTGCCCAGGGAGAGCGTTTTGACTTGAAAACCGAATGACTGCCAGTTTCAGCTAGCAAACTGGCGTAGAAAATTGCAGATTTCTGAAACAACTGACTATATCTAAGCTGTTCTCACAATGATATAGAGCTCTTTTAAAATATTCTTCCTTCAGAGATATTTTAGGATTATCTTTGGTTTTCTCCTAATGACCAGCAAACGTAAGCCCAGCCAGGGGTCTAGTTAACAAGACAACTGCAGGTTTGTTGGTGTGCCAAAGCCGTTCCCTAAAACACTGGGACTATGGGATAAAGCACTGGGCAATTCCCTTATCTGTTTTCCAAATTTCCAATTTCTGGCTATATGCTGAATACTGTACACAACTCCGGGTAGGAAGTATTTTTGCAGACAGTGACTTCTGGAGCAAAGACTACGCTAGRGGAATGAGGCTCAGCTAGAGAGGAACCACTCAGAGGGTGGACAACTATTTAAGCACACAAAAATAGCTGAAAGTAAGAAAACGAGATTCAGGAAAGATCTGGGAGTTATTCTATTTTTTTGCAGAGGAAAGGAAAAGGAGGAAGGAGGGCAATAAGAGGGCCGTTAGCAGGAGGAAGGGGCTGTCATAAAAGAAACGGTCACAGTAATATCCGTGCAGCTTTAYGGGTTTATGTGTGAGCACCATGCAGGCAGAAAAGGGCCGAGTCASAGGGTTATCAAGATGGGCAAGCCCTGCATAACCACGGCAGGGTGCAGGATGTGCTGCCACCCGCCCGTTGCGGTCGATGGCCTCCTGCCTGCTTTGTGGCTGCAACTGGGCACCCGGGCTGTGGCTCTGAGCCCCTCCAGCCAGGCAGAGTGTCTCTTTCAAGGCACTTGCTGCTGTTGCTGCTGAGCTGCACAATCCCTTGGCTTTCAGCAACCCGCAGACGTTCTCCTGAATTGACAGCCAGGCAAGGAAGGAGGGTCAAATGGGTCGTGATCTCAGGACACGCTGGGGCTGCAGACAATTTCTCATCCTGAAATCCCAGTGTGTGGTGCAGCTGGATGGCTGATACATCCCAAATAGGGAGCCTTGGCTATAGGCAGTCACCAACACCTGGCAATGTTGGGGCATGCAATCTAAATCTAGCTGAAGGGAATTTTAAATACTCCTGCAGGGCCCAAGTCTTGAATAAGTCAATGTTTTGAACCCGTGTTTCTTTTATCAAGGTACTTTTTTTTTTTTTTTCTGAAAGAATTGCTGAGAGCACCAAAAATCGATAACCCCGAGATAACTTTTCAATTAGCTTATTTACTGTCAGTACACCTGAGGCACAGCCACTTCCTTTACCAATCAAGCCATGATCTCAGTATTGCAATGACTATGTAGTTGGTGCAGATATGGAAAAAAACGGTTTCACAGAGGTAGTCAGCATTTCCTGAAAGCCTCTTTGAGGAGTCTCAGAGCACTTCTATTTTCCCCAAGAAAGTGTATGCAGACATAGCTGAGATTGGACCTGTCAAAATTTGCCAATTTCCCCCTMCTCTTTGATCTCCAGAAGAAAACTTCTTCAGTGTGTCAAGGCTGTGCCAGAACCCTGAAAGTTCTCCTTCTTRAGATATTTGGAACAGAAGAAATGGTCAGATCCTGCAAGAAAATAGGGAARAGGCGGGGGAAAGGTTTGCAAAAGCTCTTTTGTGTTTATGAGGTGCAGATCTCTTTTCAGTAAGGCCTTTTGCTTTTTGTGCAGCTTCCTACCTGCACTGTGTTGCATGAGAAACTCCATAGGAACTGGCAGGTTAGGAATGACTAATTTTTAAGGTCGTAAGCAAGTGGATACAGATCTRCCAAAAGCCAATCCCTACTCCAAGATCTCATGTTTGTGTCTACCTTGACACAAACTACAGAAGAGGCACTAGTGTTTTGAATAGTATACGTTTACATAGCAGGAACTGTTGCAATTGTCAGAAAAAATATCACGTTTGATATCAGCCAAAACCCAAACCACCATGCCTTTAGAAAGAAAATAAAATTCAGATTTGGACAAATCATTCATCAGAAGAGTAGTTTCTAGTAAAATCCTGAGCAGTATGCTCTAACAAAACACTGGATGTGCTAAAAATGCACTACCTCTTTTTCATATATTTGGCAGAAGTCTTAGAGTCTGCGCTGACAGAAATAGAAACGCTTTACGCCACTTCAGAAGCTATTTGCCTATCTGCTCTTTCCAAGGTGCATTTCCCTGCAGGACATGGGCTTAACACACCCCGTGTCTTCCCCAGAGGACATGACTGTGACCTGATTTCGTTCCACAGAGACCCAAGAGCAGCAGGTTTTCATGGCCCGCACCTGACCCGAACACCTGCTGTTTTATCCCAGAACAGCACTGCCCACTCGCCTGCGCCACGCTACCGGGATGGCAGAGTCACTCGGTGAGTATCCTTGGAGCTGCTCCAGCACCATCTCTTCCACACCACCAGCAACCTCATTCCCACTGACACTAAGGCTCTCAGAAGGCTCTCATATRTTGAGGAGCCAGAAATAACCCGGGGGAGGGCAGCAATGGCTTTCATTCCATGCAAAGCAACGCTATGGAGTRCCCCGCCATTGAACACCCTTTTCTTCCTTTCTAGATGAACACATGGTGGAAAACTACACTGCTGACGTRGAGAATTTACTACTGACAACTGAATTTGACTATGGTGAGGCCATCCCATGCACAAGAATCGAGGAAAGGAACTTTGCAGCAAAATTTCTGCCACCACTTTACTCTCTGGTGGTGATATTTGGCCTCCTGGGCAACATGCTCGTTGTCCTTATTCTGGTGAAATACAAGCGGCTCAAGAGTATGACTGACATCTACCTGCTCAATTTGGCAATTTCTGATCTGCTCTTCATATTTTCCCTCCCGTTTTGGGCTTACTATGCTGCCCGGGAGTGGATTTTTGGCGATGCGCTCTGCAAGATTCTCTCAGGTGCCTACCTGCTCGGCTTCTACAGYGGCATCTTTTTCATCATCCTCCTCACCATAGACAGGTACCTGGCCATAGTGCACGCGGTGTTTGCTTTGAAAGCCAGAACAGTCACCTACGGCATCCTGGCCAGCACTGTCACTTGGGTTGTTGCTCTGTTATTCTCCCTCCCCGGAGTCTTCTTTCACAAAAGTCAAAAGGAAAATTCRCGCTATACTTGCAGCCCCCATTATCCATCAGACCAGAGAAATGCATGGAAGCAGTTCTTGACTTTAAAGATGAACATCCTGGGACTTATTCTCCCCATGCTCATTATGATCTGCAGCTACGCACAAATTATAAAGACATTACTGCAATGTAGGAATGAGAAAAAGCACAAAGCAGTCAGGCTTATTTTTATCATCATGATCGTCTACTTTTTGTTCTGGGCACCATACAACATCACTATTCTCCTGCGTGATTTTCAAGTATCATTATCCCTCAACACTTGCGAAATCAGCGGTCAGCTGGAGAAAGCAATCCAAGTGACAGAAACCATTTCAATGATCCACTGTTGTATCAACCCRGTGATCTACGCCTTTGCTGGAGAAAAGTTCAGAAAGTATCTCCAGTGCTTTTTCCGAAAGCACGTTGCATCCCACCTCTGTAAATATTGCCCAGTTTTCTATGTTGACCCAGCTGAACGGGCGAGCTCCACCTACACACAGTCTACGGGAGAGCAAGAGGTCTCTGCTGCACTGTAAACTGCCTCTAAAAAAATAGTGGAATTAACTTTTTTAAAATCAGTTCCATGAAGGATGCCTGGAAATCTGTTCTCTGGATATTGCCTCTAAGGCAGCCACAGAAGCACCTGGCACAGATGTCTACCAAGCCTTATCTATATTTTGTATGGGTATTTGTACATAAATGAAGAGCTAACTGGATATGCAAATGTAGGATTCTGCGAGGCAAGAAGTATTCTTTTTCTTTCATGAACGTAAAAGCAGAGCTTTTTACTGAAAGGCCCAAAACTCCCAAAGACTGAGGGCTTTCTCTGTACACTATGCTAGCRGGCCTATAAACTGATTTTTTAAGTGAATTATTAGGAGGTGAAAAAACAATACTGGCTCTCTGGAAGCATCTCATGACTGTACCTTACAGAAGATCTTTCACTCAGTTAAACTCAAGTGTTGGTCACACTCTATATTAGCCTCATTTTGTTCCTGGGTAGATAATGTTAAATCATCAAGGCCTGTGATACAGAATCTTTAGAGGGATAAGGGAAAACTTTGTACTTCCCAAAGRGCCTCTAATATTTATGGTATTTTTTCTTTGTGTTTATCTGAACTCTGAACGCCAACATCTTGGTCTTGTCTTCTCATGCTAGTCTTAACTATTTGATGTCAATACGTAAGGTACTCGAGTTTGGATATTTTAGAAGTATGTCTTTCAATTAATTTGCTGGTTTATATGATACTCATACTGAAAAGCTAATCAAATATACAATGGATTAACATTGATCAGCAAATTGATGTGTTTTCAGTATTTTAACAGTAAATATTATACATGGAGCTTTAACCAGGTTAGATCAGATTTGTATTATAAGTCAATAGGATTTGGGTTTTCTTTTCAGTGCAGTGATTTTGTTTGCCACTTTGCTAACCTATATATTTACAGAGAAAATCCTTAAAAATGAAACTAATGCAGTGGTAATTGCTGCAAAAACAAAACAGCATTAGAGGTGTGAAAATGCTCTCTAAACAAGGTTGACCAAGATATGCTTTAGATTTTTAAGAAATCAGTACACAAGAATAAGTGAAAGAATTCTGGGACCCACAAAGCCAAGTGACACGTGGCATCGCTCTCTGATTTTACAAGCAGATATCATTTGGGCACTATCAAAAATGATACCGTGATTTTTCTGCTATTGGTAGTTGTAAAGACATTAAAAGTTTCCACAATTAGTAAGACTGATGGTCAAATATGACTGGGCCTCTGCCGAAGCTCARTCCTGCAGAGCATTTGAAGACATAAGAAAACGAAGAATGGGGATACTCGTGTGCTTGAGGTCCTATCTTATTTAAACAACTACTCGATTCACACCAACTTGTCCTTCCTAGTGTTTCCTACATTTCCCCCAAGACACTTGGTTTTGGCCATCTCTGGAAGCAGAAATACAAAACAGAGTGTTGTGATCGCCCTTCTTATCCAGTAGGTTTATTCCTGTTTCCCAGGTACTTTTTATATCCTTTCAATGAATACTTCCAAATAAGCATGTTTCAAACAGCTCCAAAGACATCCTACGTTGCTAAGTACTTGTGAAAGAAGGAAGTGAAATAGGGAAATCTTTGCTCATCAGACCACTTGTTTCAAGTTACTCTATTTTGTCGTATTAAGCACTGCTTTTGGACTACACCCTTCACAGGAATTATAAGAAAACTATACTATGCCTTCTAATTCACAATGGTTTGAGATGTATATATTTTTTAAAGGCACTGTTGCAACACTCACTTTCTGGACTCTGTGTATGCTTTTACAACAGCTAACTGTATTACTGTAAATAAAAATTAGATAATTGCAGCATAAAATGCAAAACATTTATTCTTTAAACAGACAGGAAGCTGCAATCAGTAATGTCCTGTCAGACGTGCCTTTTTTTTTTTTTTCTTTTTCTTCCAGACTACATCTATGAAAACTTTTCTGTGATTTATTCTGTTCTTGATAAGAATATTAGGATCCCAGGACACACTGCCTTTAAGTAGTCATTTTCTTGTGAATGTTTTASGGCCCTGCAGAGCACGTATCTTGACCATTCCTGTAAGAAGAGAAGCGCGATGCAACACAGGAGAGCAGAAATGCAGCACAGGAGAGCAGTGGGGCGTGCTTTTCTGAGAGATATACCACAGAAGAGACCTGATCCTCTGCAGTATTAACCCCTTACAGCATGAATCTTTCCAGGTAACCAGCAGCTTCCAAAAGGCAGAGTTGGAACTTTCAGCATTTCGTGGCCCAGTGGATCAGTACRTCTCAAGAGTGTCTTTTACTTTACTTCACTGAGAAGGAACCCTGTTTCAGTCAGATTTCTGTCATAGCAGTAAACCAAGTGCCCAAGTGGATATGGCAAGTAAGTGGTGGGTGCACTTCATTACGGACTCTGCCAGCAGACTGTAGTAATATTTTGCATTATGCAATCCATTAAAATTGGTTGACTGTTATGTGTTAGATTTCTTCATCTTTTCTTCTCTCCCCTCTGCCTTTACCCTTTTCCTTTTGATGGCCTTCCYGTTTGCAACAGGTTGTGATAATGCTGAATGAGCAGTGAGGGTTTAACAGCTGGACAAAGAACCAACATCATCAGGTAACACCTGACCATCACAACGTTCCTCCCCTTTTGGCTGATACTGCATTTGTTTTTATACATGCAGAAGGTGTGACCTGTAATTCTGACCACAAGAAGATGAACAGTAATTATTTTAAAATAAATAACCACACCAAAGAGTTTTGAAGATGTTTATYATCTACCCCCACTCACTGAAGAGAGAACCTCTAACAGTGGATGTGCACGTAGTTTTGAGATGTGCMCCCTCTGTTTTTGAGATTATGTTGCCATCCTGTGGCCACACCGTATGGTTTCATGCTGCCCCATAAAGGTTCAACTCTTTCCCAGCGGCTTTTGGTATTCTTCTTCTCTGAAAATCCTTTTTTCTTCCCAGGAGGATCTTCTATCGCAATGACTTGCTCCACTAGAGGTAGCACGAATATTATGCAGACAGGAGCAAGCCCCAGAGAGTGCTCAGAGCAACTGCAAACCTGTGGGACACTTAGCAGCTTCTGCTGATTCAGGCAGCCACCCCAGACCCGTGTGGGAGAAGGAAGGTTTGTCTGGTTTCTGAACTGGTTTTCCCTACACTGGTGCTGTCCTCTGCTCCAGTGCCCTCTGTATTCCTATTGATGGCTTGGAAGTCACAAGAAGGAAAACGCGCTYGCAACACTATTTCCTCGGAAAGGATCAGGAGGATTGTAGCATGGATGGCTTCGGGATCAGCATACTTCCAACCCTTCCCAGCCCCTGGCCGCCGTGATAATCCACCCCGCCTCTCTAAGACGAGGGGTGGCAGCACTACAACCCTAAAGCCTGCCAGAGAGAACACCCTCCATGATCTCGGCTCTGCTGAAGAGGACGTGCCAGGCATGGAAGATGCTCGGGCAGCAGCCTTTGCTACCGCCTCCATCGGCAATAACCGTCCGCAGCCGCGAGCGAAGGGCTCTCCTCCAGCCTCCCCCTTACTGGCGCCTGCCCCGGCCKCACACCCGCTCTCCTCCGCTGCCACGCCAGGGCCGATAAAGCGGAGGGGACCGGGGTGAAAAGCGCCCGCTGCGGCAGTGAATAACCACGCAGCAGGGCAGCCTGGTCTCGGGTCCACGCCACACAGACCAGGCAGCCGGGCCGCGYCCCAGAGCCTCACACAGAAGCGCCAGAGGCGGCGCGTGATTCCCCACAGCGCCCCAAGAGCAACGCAACCCCGCGTAACAGCCACCGCGCAACGGCTCCAACGGCCACTGCACCGAGAGCGCCTGCGCGGGCGCGTGACGTCACGGCCGCGGCACCGCCCCCTCCGGCGGCGCCTGCGCCTGCCGGGCGGCACGCTGCGCCTGCGCAGTGCGCGCCTCGGCGCTTCCCGCCAGCCGCCCGGGCGGGCCGGGGTGGGTGAGGGGCGGCGGCTGCGCCCCCGCGGCGGGAGCCCCGGAGCGGGGTCCGGGGTCCGGGTCCCGGGTCCGGGTCCCGGGTCCGGGTCGCGCTCTCTAGGGAAGAGGCTGCCTGGCGGGGGGGCCCTCTCCCTGCGGAGGGGGATGTGGGTCGGGCCAGGCCCGCGGCGTGGGGCAGGATCCCGGTGTGGGGCCGGGGTCGGGGCCGGGGTCGGGGCGGTTGGTGCGGCTCCCGGTTGGGGCGCCCCGCCGGGATGAGGTGTCGGTGGTGGAACCCGCGCCGCTTTGCCTTRCAGCTGGAGGATGAAGGGCAGCAAGGAGCCCTTTCTTGTGAAGTTCGTAAAGGCTTCTGGAAGCTCCGAGTATTTCTGCAAAGCCCTCGAGGTAGGTGGGTTTGATGGCCCTTCCCAGGGAACTAAATGAGTCTTGTTTGCTATATAAGTGTCTCCTGTGATTGTCAATAGATGTYGTGCATCTGTATACACCTGTAAACAAAAACACGCTTCAGTGCTTGAGGTGCCCAGYGCCACTTTCAAGGGTTATTTTGCATGGTTATTCCTAGAACAAGAAGCAGCTCTTTCGCATTTCACGTATTACTTGTTCCATGGCTTCTTGCTGCAGGTCCAGAAGAGCCTGGAAGCTGCAGATGAGGCTCTGCAGCGAGCAGAGCAGCTGCCCAGTGCAGCACATAGTGCCCTGGGAGGGAGGAGTGAACAAACATCTGTAGTCTCTCCAGAAAACCCGTTAACTCTTCSTGAAGTAACATCTAGCTTGGCAGGTCCGGATGGAGGACACTCATCCACTAAAAAATGAGTGAGGATAGTGTTGATATTTCATCCTCTTGGAAGTCAGTGGTAGCTAAAGGTGCTGTCTGGCAGGATTGGGTCCTGAAGGTTTGTATGCTGAACGTACAGTTCTGGTTGTTTTGAGGAGCTGGGAAAAATACAGAAGACTTTAACCTTCTCTGCTGCTAGTCCACTCTTGCGTCATAGATTTGTTGTAAGCTGTTTCAAGTAGGTGTGCTTTTGTAACTTCCATAGGGTAGGATTGATTTTGTGGTTTATGAATTAAATAAATGTAATTGTGTGCTGTTTGCCTGCAGTCTATAAAAGAATTTCAGTCAGAAGAACATCTGCAGATCCTCGAGGAAGAAACAGCGCTCGGTATAAAAGAAAATGATAAGTCCCTTTACATCTGTGATCCTTTTAAAGGCAGTGTTTTTAATCATCTCAAAAAGGTTTGATATTTACCTATTTATTTTCAATGATACTCAATCTTTTGTAGCAATACTCATGTCCATAATCTGTATCCAGAATGTTTTCCTACCATGAATACAATAGTGTGAAGTGTTTGTAGTAAAATCTTTAAAGTTTCATTGTATTGTTTATTTAGGGAAGAGGAGGATTGACAAAATGTTAAAAAATAGTGAAGCAAGCAAAAAGTAAATGGGGTGGTCAGTTCTGATTCTGCTGTGGCCAGTGAGCCACCTCTCATTTCTTTTGCTCCTCTGGGACAGTAATTTTGTTTGGCCTCAGCAGACAAAGTGAGGCTTGCAGAAATTCAGTRGCGTGTTGGCTGTAGCAAGGTTAAGGATTGCTGCCTTAACCAAGACCAGAAAACATACAAAGGTTGTCCTGAGAATCTGCAGCAAAAAGTGAACAAATGAAAACTGTTGAGCTGTTTGGAGCTGCTGAAGGAGGGCAGGCAGCAATCCTGCCCTCTGCAGTGTCCTTAGACAAGGAAAGCTCTCTGTACATCAGTGTGCCTTTCAGCCAAGCTGTGTCCTTTCCGTGTTCTGTTTCTGCAGCTCGGCTGCAGAATCGTTGGGCCGCAGGCCGTGCTGTACTGCATGCAGTCGCAGCGGTGTGTGCCGAGAGCGGAGTATCCTGTGTTCAACATGACCATGGCAGATGTCACCGTGTCCTGCACCAGCCTCGAGAAGGACGTCAGGGTAATACTCCAGGATGGTCCTTTTCTCTGACATTTGCTTCTTTTGGCTTATAACTAAGCCATTAGTCTTACTAAATAATGTATGATCTACCAATACCTTTTGATATACAGGCTACAGTCTGTAGACTGATATTTTTTACATATATTCTTATTAAAAATGTATATATTGCATGTATACATACTTGTGTGTCGTATACACCTATATATGTTACATAGATATRCACATATAACTATAAGACATTATTCTCACTGCTGTAGGATTCATTATATGTAGGATTCATTATATGTTTTACTTTTATTTATTAGTTAGCTTGATCTTTAAGCAGCTTAGTTAACTTGCTAATTTGTTTGCAGCTGTCATGCTACAGCCAAACTACTTTATTTCTGGCTGCTCAAACTGCAAGGTAAAATTTTAATATTTAGTCAGCTGTGGTTTATCTTGAATAGATTAATTTAAGTCTTTTATCATAAAAGCTTTCTTTGTATTTTTTCCAACTTTGCTTTCTAGTTTATGCTACCTAAACTGTCAATCATCAGTAAATTTTCACAGCTATAATACGATTTTAGCATCTTGATTAAGGGTAAAMCTTTTATATTCAGCTTCTCAAAAATAAAATGCGGTTCATATCTGATAATGACTTCCTTACATACTGATTTTTAGATTTCCAAACAGATTTTTAGGAGAAATCCTAGACAATTGAAATTGGTGGGATTTTGTTTGTTTTTAAGGTGAACTGCGTATGATTTAAGTTCTTGTTTGAAGATTTTGTCTAATTTCTTTTCCCACTCAGGAAGAAGTTCATAAATACGTGCAGATGATGGGTGGCCGTGTGTACAGAGACCTCAACATATCAGTAACTCACCTTATAGCTGGAGAAGTTGGTAGTAAGAAATACTTAGTAGCTGCTTCTCTAAAAAAACCTATTTTGCTGCCTTCCTGGGTTAAGACACTGTGGGAAAAGTCTCAACAAAGGTAAAACAAAACAAAACAACGCGCATAGTTTATATTGTGGGCTGCTAAATTTTTTGGAGGCTTTTTTTTTTCAAGGGCTTTTACTTTGGAGAAAAATATATTTTCTTTTTCCCCACTCTTTTTTCCTCCCTTAGCATAATTAGATATACTGACATTAACATGGAAGACTACGCCTGCCCCGTGTTCCTTGGCTGTACGATTTGTGTAACTGGCCTGAGCAGTTCAGACAGGAAAGAAGTCCAGCGCCTCACTGTTGAACACGGTGGCCAGTATACTGGGCAGCTCAAGATGAATGAATGTACCCACCTCATCGTGCAAGAGCCCAAAGGTAGAACTTAGAGGGGAAATACTRGCTGTCTTCTGCTCTCGAGTCAAAGTATTTATGCCTACATGTAAGGATTTGACCTTCTCTGTGTCTGTTGTGGTGTTGTTTTTGCTCCTTCTGTTCAGGGAAATACTGTCAGTGGGAAGAGTAACACAGAATATTTATTGCACTCTAAAAGCATTTGAAAGGAGAACAAAAGAGATTTGCAAAAATGGAATGAAATCTCTCTGTTCCCTCTTGGAAAGGATAAAGGCTTGTAGTTTGATTATGAGAATACTTTTTTTCCCACTCTCTTTTCCCTTCTGTATAGGATAATACCGCATATTCTTCCCTATGTCCCTCCCCAGCACAGACCTTGGTTTAAAGTCCTTAGATGTTGTGCAGGCACCGTTTTTTATGGTGGAGGAGTTGATGCTGTTCACTTATAGAACCTTCTAAAAGGCTCTATTAAAAAAGAGACATTTCAGTTGAAGGATCTTCTGGGTATAAGTATGCAAAGAACAGTACGCAATGCCTCTATTTCATAGCCTGGCAAAATGAAAACTTTGGGACAGGACAGTTGCATTATTTGATCTTTTTGTTGTTGTTGTTTGTTAACATATGCTAATRTTGGCTGCCCTTTTTGATTCCTTTTTTGAACATGAGCAAAAGCTTCTTTTAGGTGGGTTTAGYCTTAAGCAAGATGAGATACTCTTAGCAGAATGGTTGGTGGAAAGATAATCTTGCTTAAAGGACTGCACAAATTGTATGATGTTTTTGGGGTTTTTTTGTGCTTTGCTGCTTCGTTGTCCTCTGATACTGTATCCTTGAGCAAACCATCATTGGATTTTTTTGTCTCTCTAATTGTGTGTGTGTGTGTTTGTATGTTTGTCTGTGTGTGTATGTAAGTGTGTGTACACAATCAAAACCAATTTTAGAAACGTAGGACTGTTTAGCAGAGATAGGATAACCTTTAATACTGCACTGAAACAAATATGTTATCAAAACAACTTGTAGTATCCTCTGTAAATGACAAGTGATGCTATTGCTGTTTTTACTCATAAAATGCGCATCTTGCAGACTCTTCTGACAACATTTTTGCCTTTCAAATGGAAACTAGAGATCTATGATAGTTCTTTAAAGAGAGAGTAGACAACAAATGGTTCAGCGCAGCATCTTTGAGTGTTTAGTTGTGTGTATGGTCAGAGAGTTTGCCTTTGCTGGCAGCAAATAACCAACTGCTTTTGAGATGAATTAGTTTAGTTTGATTTTTGGCAGTTGTAATAAAAAGCTATAAATAACACCCAACAGCTCATTAGATGAATAAACGATAATACAACTTTTACATTGTCATGATTTTATGATGCAGCATGAGCTGTCACTAGGAACTTGAATTAAAACTTAATTTGGTAATTGTCGTTTCCAAAACCAGTTTCCATTTGATTTTTTTTTTTATATTTATATTTTGAGTTCTTAGTTTTRAGCATTCATGTTCTAGTAACCCATGTTTTTTCTTTTTGTCTGCATTTGAAAGGTCAGAAGTATGAATGTGCCAAGAAGTGGAATGTGCACTGTGTTTCTGTGCAGTGGTTTTCTGACAGTATTGAGAAGGGCTTCTCTCAGGATGAGACAATGTACAAAGTCGAGGCTGGATCAAAACTAAGTAGTACACCCAGTACATCAACACCCACAAACAATACCAGCAAGCCCGACAGTAAGAAAGACCTTTTGAAAAATCTGTGAAAAGTGGGAGGCATTTGGGGTAAAAAGGAAGAATTATTTTRAACTTCTGGGGTGCTGCCTGCGTTTACAGTGCTAATATTTTSATAACTTGGCTTCTGATTCTGCTTTGTAACTTTGTGCACGTTGCATCTTCTACCATATGACAATTTAAGCATGTGAATAACTTTGAAAAGTCCACTTGAATTAGAGCATGTTATTGTGTGCCCAGGAATTGATACTGGGTAGGTGTGACTAATAAGTCCTAAAAAGTAGGACTGTTGATGCCTTTCTGATTTAAAACAAGTAGCTTGTTTAATCAAATTAAGCCTTACCCTGCCTCAGAGGGAGCATTTGSTGCTGATTTTTATTTATTTGTTTTTATTTATGGCATGCTGCAAATAGTGGGAGAGTTCATTTTCTAAATGAAACATTTTCTAAATAAACATGACAGCAGGAAAGGCAGCTTTAAATGTGTGCTTTTACAAATACCTGTTCCTGACTTCAGCAAGTAGCTCACAAGGCAGGACTGTGTTAGGGCTCCCAGTTAAAGCACTGGGAATTTAAGTCTTTCTTCCTAGCGTGACAGAATCCTATGTGACGGTTTGTATTTTGTTTGTCTTCTAGTGGCAAAAGACAACCAAAAACTAATGCATCTCTTCTATTTTAATTTTATTTAAAGATCATGCTCTTTCGGACGTCAGCCACATTTCCAATATCAATTTGAGTGGTGTTAATGAAACTGCATGTAGCTCTGCTATGAGCAGCAGGCTGGATCCTTCTCCTGATGAGCTGGGAAACTTGGATATAAGTTCTTTTCAAGCCCCTGAAGATTTACTAGATGGGTGTCGAGTATGTTTTAACAATGTACACTTTGAAATGTTTGGTCTTACCCTATGGAAGGAGCTAGTTTTGAGTCACTGGTGGTTGCAGCTAGAGTAAATCACCTTGTTTCCTTTCCTGATTTATTTCAAGTCACATGCTGTATCCTGAGATGTATAAATCTACCTGTGTATATTTATGCGTATGTATCTACCATGTGTATAATACATGTATGTCTACATAATGTATTTTAAATACTATAGTAAATGTGTKCAAGAATGGTTTTTGCCATGTCATACAACTTCCATGCATAACCTTTGGCTGGAGGTTGGTATAGGTGTTTAAAATTGGAGTCATTACTSTGTGTTTATTGCTGCATCTCAGAAGCTGCATCACTTCTGTGGGTGTGTTCTACAGCAGCCATAACATATTATACCAAAATATCTTTCTTAAAAGTTAAAAAGCCTTTGTTGTTGTTGTTGTTGTTCCTTGTTTCTCTTTGTAGATCTATCTGTGTGGCTTCAGTGGCAGGAAGTTAGATAAGATGAGACGGCTCGTTAACTGTGGTGGTGGTGTTCGATTTAATCAGCTCAATGAAGATGTCACCCATGTTATTTTAGGGGAACATAACGATGACCTGAARCACTTCTTGGACAAGACAACTCACAGGTTCTGATAATTCTGTTGCTTCAGAACTTTTTCTGCATTATTTCTCTTCCCTCCCTACCTCCATAAACAAGAAAAATTACATTTAACCATCTAAACAATTCTTGATTTAAATGACAAGACTGCTTAAGTTGCATTCATCAAAACACCCAATCTGTAGTCATTCTTGCATGCTCTTGAATACTGTAGTTTCTTGGTAACCATGAATCATCTCAGTCAACAGAAAAGAAATATTCTTATATTTTAATTTCTTTGTAATAATTTCTTTGTAATTTCTTTGTACCTGCTGTACCTGCAACAGCAGGTACAAATTATGTTATAGGGAATTGTATGTTCTCAGACTGAAAGAACTAAGAAATCTTCAGATCTGTAGAGTGYACTAGGGTTGCTTGGTATTGGAGTTGCTATCTTCAGATATGTAAATACACTAGTAGCTTGTAGAGGGGGGAGGCAGCAGCAYAGCTCTGAAACCTGCTGTAACCTATTAGTATAACATTTTGTCTTGTAGGCCTCACATAGTGACAGCAAAATGGTTGCTGGATACGTTCAGTAAAGGCTTTCTACTTCCAGTCGAGCAATACATTCCTCTAAATTACCAGCTGATAGAAAATCCAATTTTGGAGCAACCTGGAGTAAAGCCAGTTCTTCCCAAAAATAACACTCTCTTGAAGAAAGAAGCTACAGACATAAAGCAGCACCAGAAAGCTGATGAAGATGACTTCCTCTCTCAATATGTAAATAATGATTCCACGTTAGGTAGGTTCTACGGTAAACATCCCATAGMAGGTTTAACTGCTCAGAGTTTGAATTAATTTGTGTAGTGGTTGAAACTTGAATTTTGCAGTATTTACTCCTTAAAATTATTCCCAATAATGGTTGAAAACAAAGGATACTCMATTTCTGTTTCCGTGGAACTATTTTGAATTGGTTGCCAATTTTTGTCAAGTGATTTTATTTGTCTTTTATTTTTTATTTTTTAGTTGAAGCTGAAAAAGTAACATCTGGTAACTTCAGCAATGTTACTCACTTGAGTGTTCAAGAGGARAATCAGTCTTCTGTGTGTAATGGCTCCTTGGCAGAGGCATCTGCAGTGGCTGAAGATCACCTATTTGTCAGAAAGAGATTYCTTCTCTTGGGTTTTGGTGAAGAGGAGGAGTCCTGCATTGCAGATCTCATAAAGGAGAACGCTGGCAAAGTTGTGCAGCCACAGAGCAGAACTGTTGCAGACTACGCTGTGGTGCCCTTGTTGGGGTGCACTGTGAAGCCAACTGTGGGAGATGTTGTCACTAATACATGGCTGGTAAGTGAGCTCAGCCTTTGGTTCAGCAAGTACAACAGTGTCTGCATTACAMATACGTGTCTGCTCAGAACTGAAGAGGCACTTGTGACTTAGATATGTATGAAGATATTGAGAGATGGAGTCTGGTTTCATCTGAAATGTACCAAATGAAAGTGTGCTCTAATGCTGCAGCTTCCTTGAGGTGTTTCAGCTATTTTGTATAGGCTCATCAAATAAGGCTTTAATGACCCAAAGACTTCTTGCATGAGGCTCTAGCAACACTTTAAATAATGAGCTGTTGAAGGAGCAGCTGACTAATAACGATTATGTTAGATATCTTTGGGCTTACTTTCTCATGCTTCATGCTTTCCACAGATTTTTCTGTCTTGTAACAGAAAAGCAAGTCAACTTTCCAGCTGAAGTTGATAAAAGTGTTTTTAGCCAAAGGATGAAYGTGACAGAGACTAAAAACTGTCGAGTGACTTACTGTTCCTCAGTACTTGAGAACTGGCTCTGAACTAAACTATGCAAATCCCCAAATGCTTTAAGGGAGCCTCCAAAGTCTTAATAATTACTCACACWTTTCAGTTACTGCTGTTCAGTACATCAAACCTTAAAATGATCTATGAAAGAGCTACATTACTTTGGCTCAAGTTTAATTGTGGAAGCAGGACTGTTATTAAGTCCATAAATGCTGTGGTGCAGTTGATGAACTGTTGCTGGGGTTTATGGGTTATTTGGTTTGATTTTCATCTCTGTTTATTTCATTGTCTTTAAGATAACGTGCGTGGAACAGCAGCTCCTTTTAGATCCCCAGTCCAGTCCACTGTTCACACCAGTCCCAGTAATGGAAGGAGCCACCCCTCTGGAAGGCTGTGTTCTTTCTTTCAGCCAGTTCACTGGTGCAGAGAGAGACTCCCTGGTTTATTTGGCAGGATTGCTAGGAGCGAGGTATGTCTCCTGTCCCTGTTTAGTCTTGTCCTCAAACAGCCAGTGTGATTGACATGTTTTGCTTGTTTTATTTCTTCTTGTACAGAACTAACAACATTTAGAGTTAAATMTCTTCTGGGCTCTGTTCACACACAAAACCTAGTGGTGAAGCAATGAGATTATAATATTATGCAGATCTTTGTTTCACTCTGCTCTGAGAAACTTATATTTTCTCTTCACACAGCTTAATTTCTCCCAGCATCTCCCAAATGTTGTGTTTCCTGCTGGCTGCCTTGCAGTAACCTTTTACTCTGCTCTAGTTATCAGCCCTGCGGAGTTGCTATTCAAAGCCATGCAGCTCTTTCTGTGAACTAATCACAGAATTTAGAATTTAGGCTGTCTGGACAAGAACTGTGTGTCTCAAACTCCTGTRAGGCAAAAATGGAGACTAGGTTGTCTCAAACAGTGCTTTTGACACAGAAATGGAGCCAACCCGTTGAGTAGGGAATCCTGTTGAGTAGGAGTTATTGTTGTGCCGTCTTCTCCTRTGCCTAGGTGGAATTGGGATAAGAAACACAAGAGATTTGTGGTGATATGAACAGAATATTGAGTAACTGAAATCGCAGGAGACAAAATGGGCTAGTTTCATTCATTATTAGTTCAGTAATGCCTAGTCCAGGCTCACAAGTAGGGATAGTGCACCATTTCCTAGAGACTGGGATGATGAGTTGCTTGCTCCGAACTCAGAATTTTTGAGACTTAATTCGGACTTAATTCTGAAATGGAAAAACTGTGCAATTTAGTCCCGGAGTATCGTTTGACTTGTAGTCTGTTTGAATTAAGCTTTTTGCCAGTGTGTTCAGTCCTACCATCTGGAGGATTAGCTAGCTCCCTTATGATGAGAGAAAATTGTAGCTAATACGAAGAAAACTTGCTCATTTGGAAATTATGCTTTTTGGCTCGAGAATGGAATCCAGCCTGGCACATCATTCCTGTAGAAGAACATTATTCCCGTTTCTAATTAATATGCTGAGCCTGTGTGGGGACATCAAGAGCATAAAAAGTGATATTTTCAGTGAAATTGAAGCAAACTATTACTATTTAACAGGATTTTTTTTTTTTTTTTTTGCTACTTTTTCTTGTTGGGCATGTTTGAATTTGTCTTTTTTCTTCTTTTTTCTTTGCTTGTAGGTGTATGTTCAGTTGTGAAATGCTAAGTAGCCTAACCTAACTGAATTCTGTTGATTCTCCTTCTGCTGCTTGAACATATTTTAAAGTGTTATAAATTTCTGCTGGGTTAATCATGTGTGTGACTAACCAAACGTTTTATTGATCTGATTCTAGAGTACAAGAATTCTTCGTGCGAAGAGCGAATGCAAAAAAAGGAATGTTTGCCAGCACCCATCTGGTGGTGAAGGAGCCGGATGGTTCCAAGTATGAAGCTGCAAAGAAGTGGGGTTTGCCAGCAGTCACCATAGCTTGGCTTTTGCAGTCTGCAAGGACTGGAAAGAGGGCAGATGAAAGCAAGTTTTTGGTTGATAAAGCAGATGCTGAAGGTTGGTTATTAGCAATTAGAAAAATTGTCATGTATGATTGTGCCATTTATCTGTTCAAGACTACATAATARTGCAGTTATTTTTAATCCCCCAAAACTTAGAAACTGAAAAATGTTTTTCTATGTTTTGGAGATGTTTTTTCCTCTTTTTTTTTTCCCTTAAGCTGAGCTGTGATTAATGATTGTGCACGTTTGCTGAAAGTTTCTCAGAGCCAGCAGAGACCTGTGGCTACAGGTTGAGAATTTAGTTGTTAGAGAGTTGAGAATGAAGCTTAGTGATGCGGCTTCATTCTTTGATGTGTCTCACCTTTGTACTATTGTTCTTCCAGGCAAAAAAAAAGGGCAGGGGGGAAACTTTTGAGCAGTGAAATGTAAAACAATTCTAACTAGTTTTTTGAATGAGCCATAAAGATGAGTTGTATTTATTAGTATTTGCAGTGTATAAGCATAAAGAGTTGATTCATGGCTGAATCTGCTGCTGTTGATCCAAAGTTAKAACTGTATGTGGTGGCCTGAAGGGGTGTAATTCAGAATTTCATGAATAGGAGTTATCTCTGACTTTAGAGGAAAGGTTTTATTGTTTATTTGTTTTACAGCTGCTGTAATATTGTGTAACCAAGCCTGTAACCAACTGCTGTTTTGATAGTAGCTGCATAGACATACATGAATATATGCACATACAGAACTAAAAACAAGAGGAGGACAGATGCCCCTTTCATTTTTAGATGCTCMAGGTCAAGCTCAGTAGCAATGTAATTCAGACTAGGGTATGCTAGAAAAAGAATTTTTGATAATGTCTCTTGAAATACAAGGCTATCTTCATTTGAGAGCATTTATTTGGAGTATTGTGTGTATAATACATATTTTAAGGAAGAAAATTCAAATGAGTGAAGTTGGCCTTTAACTAAAAATACATACAAGGTTTGTTCTCAAAAAGAAAATTGGATTGCCTGCTGATGTTTTCCTTTGTTCCTTTTAAAGAYGGGGAGAGCTTTGTTGCTCCACTCAGCAAGACACCGGCAACTGTTAGATCTTCTGATTCTCCAGAACAACCTACCTATCTGCTTGAAGCTGGAAAAAAGCCACCCGTGACCCCTCTTGATATGAACAGGTTCCAGAGCAAAGCTTTCCAAACTGTCATCTCCCATCACATTGAGAAGAAGACAACCCCTTTTGCGGAAGGGGCACTGCCACAGAAAGAACCATCCTTACACCTTGATACACCATCCAAATTTCTTTCCAAGGACAAGTTGTTCAAGCCTTCCTTTGATGTAAAGGTGAAATTCTTTGCAACAAAGTCGTAGAGCCAGTAARGTTAGAAATATCCTTAAAACAGCACAGAACCCCCTGCTTATCATTCCTATGGATTTCAGCTGCACTTGCTGACTGCTCCTGTTGTCCACCCTTGTGGTTTATGAGTATGAAATGCTAGCAGAGACTATATATGTGAAACTTGCTCTGGAGTGAGAGTGTTGTAGTGCGTTCCTGCAAGTCACCTAGTTGCTTGTTTCTTGTAGGATGCTCTGGCAGCTTTGGAGACTCCGGGAAATCTCTGTCAGAAGTCCAGGAAGTTGAGTACTCCCCTGTCTGAAGTCATTGGCCGAAACTTGAAATTGGCCCTGGCAAACAGCACGCGGCCCACGGCAGCTCTCACTAGCAGCCCTCAGTTGAAGTCTGCACAACCAGAAGCGGTAGGAGGATTTATTTCTGGAATTTTTGGAGCATAGGCTTCCTTAAGAAAATACTATCATTTTGTGATTTATTTTTTTAATTTTATTTTTAAGTTATAAAGGCATTTGCAAATCTCAATGATCTTTGTATTCTTTTGTGATGTGTTTGGACAGAAATCTGTGTGGTTGCATGTTCTTCAGTGTTGGTGAAAGTAAGCTAGAAGGCTTTTCTCTCGGAAGGCAAGGAAGCTTATTCCACTACCTGCTCTGCTATCCTGAATGCTAAGCAGTTGCTAGGCACTGGGATATATAAATACATATCTACATATCCTAGGTTTTTTTAATGTCAGGATGGGACATAAACAGGACTTTACTCTGAGACAAAAGATTATATTTTTAATGCATCTTTCCTCTTTTTCTGTCTTCTGCAAAGTGCTGTTCTTCTGTTTGCTAGCAGGCACAAGATATGTGATCAGTTGCTTACCCCCTCATAAAGATATGCCATGTTCGTTTGGCTAGTAGTGTTGTTTYACCTTCAGTCCTTATCTGCTTGCTTGCTTGAATAAATGTCTAACCTATCTTAATGAGAGAAAACAGGAAAAAAGAAGCAGCAAAAACAGGAGCACTTAGGTGCTGCTTCTAGTACATTGTGTCCTACAGAGGGGGAGTAAAAAAGCAAATAGCATTTAACCAGGGAAGGCCTCTTATCTTGTAGCTCCTGATTCTCATGCTTTTCACCTCTGTTTTTGCTTTTACGTGAAATGACTGGTATAGAAGTCTTCCAAACATGACTCYGCCCTGTTTCTCTCTGCAGCTTGAACAAGAAGACCCCAAGCCTTTGGCTGATGTTGTTATATGTGTTAGTAAAAAGCTTAGTAAGAGGCAGAGTGAACTGAATGCAGTAGCAGCTTCTCTTGGGGCAGACTACAGGTAACAACTGATGCAAAAAGCTTCTGAACTAATGCCCTGAAGTGACTTCTAGTAAATCTGAGTCTTGGCCTTCCAGTATTCTTGTATATAAGACCTTTTCCAGTATTCTTGTATATAAGACCTTGTATATAAGACCTTTTCCTGCATGGTTTTGCCATGTTAGTCATTTCTATTGTAAAGTTAGACTGTCTGTTCTACTGTCTCTGCATTCTTGGTAAGTCTGTCTTAGTCTCTTAGCCCATTTGCCTTGAAGTTTTCCGTAATTGCAGAAAGATGTTCTTCAAAAAAGAACAGAAAAGCTGTAAAACTTCTTTAACTCTTGAACTCTTGAGTAGATGAAAATTTACTTCCGTTTTAGATTTTTGTTTCTCTCTCACTTCTTATTTGTTTTTTAATGCTCAAGAATGCTTTCAAAAAAATGTGAAATTTTTCTACCCAGAAACAACAAAATGCCATTTTTCTGAATTAAAGAAAAATTAAGCTTATCCTTAATTTAACCTGACAAAGTAGGCAAAGCAATATTTGAACTTGAATGAGRGATGAAATGATTTCTGTGAGGGATTTCTCACAGTTTTTGGCAGGAAGTGATATCTTCTAAGTTTGTATCTGCTAATTTTTTTTTCCCTCCTCTGCTCCCCCACACTAGATGGTGCTTTGATGAAACAGTAACACACTTCATATACAAGGGAGGACAAAATGACAACAACAAGGAATATAGATCTGTTAAAGAGAGGGGTATACACATTGTTTCGGAACACTGGCTTTTGGAGGTAGGGAGCAGAAGTTTCCTTTTCAAAAGTGTTACTTAGCTGCCATTTTCTTTTGCATGGACATGGAAACTAAACCAGTTATGGCAGTTGATTTCTGCTTGAGGTTTTTACTGAATACATAGAAATTGATGTTTTGTATCCTGCTTTGAGCTTTTAAATCAAGCAATCRGTTTCCATTGATTTACCTCATAAAAGGCTGGAGCTAAAAATTGATAAGAAGAGGAAAAAAGAAACCAAATTGCTACCAGCAGGTCTTAACGGAGCTTTGTCTGAATGGTAACCTGCCAAATAATTGTTCCACTAGCAAATGAAAACATTTAGACATTCTCCTTGAGGAAAAAATATTCTCTTACGTTCAGCATTTTGCTACATGTTTCTCAGGATGCTGCTCTATTTTTATCTTGTTTAAAGTACTTTTTGCTGCCATGTCTTTAATGCACTCTTCCCGTGTATAGATGTGGAATTTCTCTTACTTTTCACTCAGTTTCTTATTTTTCTTACGTTAATGAATGTTGTTACAGAGTGCCCAGGAATATAAACGGCTTCCTGAATCTCTCTTTCCTCACACTTACAATCCCAAAATGAGCCTGGACATCAGTGCAGTGCACGAGGCCAGGTTCTCCTCTCCTGGTAGACTTCCATCCACTGGAAAAAACGCCGAGGAAGATGAGGTATAGAATTACATAAGTGTGTGTTCTGTCGGGTGATTGGAATCCAATTTACTTATTTGTTACATTAACATAATAATAGATAATGTTGATACCTACTCAGTGGTGCTGTGAAGCAGGTTTAGCTGGTAGTTCACAGTAGCCATCTCAGACACATCTTCACATTTCCTGCTTTTGTAACACTCCTTTCCTAGGAGGAAGGAGAGAACTCAGGTCTTCAGAGATTAGAAGAGCTTTCCAAATTTGAAACAACGTAATCCTGTCTTTGACTTCTACTTTTAGGTGAACAAGAGATGCAAGGCATGAAGTGTCTTTTAGCAGATACTTAGAGTGCAGAATAGGTGTTGTCAGTGATGCTGTTCACTGTCTGTCTGTCCTTGTGGTAAAAGAAACGTTAGTCTGTTCCAGGGCAGCCTTATTAACCTTTGGAATTTATGCAAGCGTTGAACAAGGTGAAACTTCCAGCTTCTGGCRTTAGTTAGAGAATTTTACTCGATTTAATTATTTTTAGATCATTCCAGTGGATGAAGATGATGCTGAAGATGATGTAACTACTGACCAAATAAAGGAAGTAGTCCCTACAGGGGGAGAACAAGTTGTAGCAAGTGAAGCCAAAGGAGGTAAATGTAAATCATTATTTAGTGTCAGAATAGTTGTGACATGTCAAATATATAAGCCTTTTACAGATTCAGATGCTATTCTCTATGTTAAGATCTGGAAATTTAGTTATCACACTTACATCCCAGTTAGGTACAGCCTGATGTCTTTGATATTGATAGAAGTGAGGAAAAGGTTTTGCTGATTATTTTAAAGACTCTGACAGCCCACAAGAAGATGAAGATCATCCATTGCAAATTGCTTAGGTCTTTCTGTTTCATTGTGAGTTTTTTGAGGGGGGCAAAACACTGAAATTTATCTTTAACGTGGCAATAGCATTGTTTTAGAGTATACRTTATTGTCATAGGTAAACAAATGTGTTACAGGGAAAGCGTGGTTATAAGCCAGATCTAGCTGTACCCAAGCAAATTTGAAAGTGATCCAGTTGGGAATTCTTGCTTGTGGTCAGGAATGGGTAACTCAGGACCTTTAGTTTTTCTAGACTTTTTTTCTCCTTGATGCATTTGCTCTGATAGGGGGAAAGTTGCTTGAGTTTCCTGTCACTTTTCCCTGCTTACCATGCAGCAGTCCTGATTTTGTGGGCCTTGTCTTTTCTCTTGAAGTGTTAACCCAGACCCTAGAAATGAGAGAGAATTTCCAAAGGCAGCTTCAGGAGATCATGTCTGCCACATCAATAGTAAAACCCCAAGGACCAAGAGGCTCCCTCTCCAGGAACAGCTTTGACGGCTCTCCGACCACCCCTGACGGCCCCCGCTCTGTGCGAAACGGCCGCAGCAGGGTCTTGGAAGCTCTGAGGTAGTGATTTTCTATCTCAAAAGTACTTTATTTTGGCCTGTCTGCCCTTACTTTACACTGCTTTTGCAGTCTTGTRTAAGCAAAGGGTGATTTAAGTGTGCGTTTTGTTTCGCAGGCAATCCCGGCAGGCACTGACAGATCTAAACACAGAGCCATCGCAGAGCGAGCAGATCATCTGGGACGATCCTACTGCAAGGGAGGAGAGAGCAAGACTCGTCAGCAACTTCCAGTGGCCTAACAGCCCTTCCCAGTACACTGAGCAAGTTCCAAGTAATGTCAGTAAGAACATGGATGAGCCTGCCTTCAGATCCTTGGCTGATTCAGAGCTTGCTGCTCTAGGTAAAATCAGAAATAAAATAGACTTTATGTTTAGACATTACGGTCTAATGACTGTAGCTGGTATTTGGAACCCCAGCTGGGCTGTGAATAAAAATTCAGACTAGTATAGTGGACTTAAAATAGAGATACCAGGAACAGAATGATTTCAACTGTAGTGGAAATAATGGTAGGTGAACCCTGGGAATACAGAAACCAGATATCCATGAACCCTCCAAACTTGCATCTTGGAGATGCTGATGGGCATGTTTAGGTCAGGATTTATTCAAATTTCTATATTTATCTTTCTTCCCTGTTCTTTTAAAATCTTTATCCTATAGCCAGGACTAAGGAAGTAACATATGTGTGGTGTTTGCATCTGTTTTTGCCTTGTTCCTAGTTCTGCCTGTTGACAGATAGTGGGATCCTTTGGCYTCTGCCCTATACTTCCCTTTATAGCGTTTCTGCCTGCAGCAGCAGACTTGCTGCAAACAGACTCTGTAGTAGAGAAGTCTTGGGAAAACCAGCTCTGTCTGTTCAATTGATTCATGGTTTATCTGAATCAGTGCAGTTTAGCCTAAGAAATTAGGCCAYTTGAGCTTTTTTTCTTCTTCCCAAAACAAGACATAAAGGAGCATGAGGCTGCAGTATTTCAGTTGGTGCTTTGGAGTAAGAGAGAAGTGYGTGTTGTAGCAACAATAGTTTTTTCTCTCCATTTACCATAGCTCCCTTTTTCAGCTTTCCCCCTAACCATCTGCAGCAAGACAAGCCATGTACCATGACTTTATTGTTCACAGATGGTCCTGAGGCTGGGGATGGAGATGTGACTGCAGATCCAAAGAATCCTGTATGTAGAGATCCTGAAACACCCCGTAAAGAAGACAAGCTGATTCCCACTCCCCAGGCCCCCAGCATTGCTTTCCCTCTGGCTAACCCTCCTGTGGCACCACAGCCCAAAGAGAAGGTGAGTCACGTACAGAAATGTTTGTGATCATGTGTTTGCTGAGAGGTACAGCTCTTCTTGAAAAAGTTTTGAACCTCAAAGTAATGAGTAATAGGTGAATGCCTGCATTTAAAACACTTGTGGGGTTTGCTCCTGTGCAGTTGTGTTTTTCTGTGCACTTTCCCCTTCCCTGCCCAGGACTGGGAGCAGCTGATGTTTTTGAGACTGAAGCTTCGTTGCTTCCTTAGGCTTTTTGTCCAAAAATACTTTGTACCGAAATAGTTCCCGTTGGGATGCTGAGATGTGCTGTGAAGAGTTACTGTCCATATACTCTGGAGCTCCTTCAACTGTGCTGATGGAGTATGGTGATGGGGGAAAAAAAGGGTTAGTTCTTGGTTTCTTGTGAAGTATTTGGAATTTGTGCTTCGTTACAAAATGGATTGCTTTCCCCCTCAAAGCCTGATTTTGCACTGCAAGATGCCACCTTGAAAATGAATTTTCAGTCTTTTGTTCACTGATTATCAGTTGATGCTCAAACTTTCAGGAGCTGGGTGTTTTCAGAGGCATAAAGTGTCATGCTAAATATGTAAGCTGTGGTGGAAATGTATGAAAGGCCCCCAAGGAAGGCCGAACAGATAAGGCAGCATGATGGATGGATGGTTTTTTCATGTGTTTAACTAGGCATTCAGAGCATATGAGTGAAGGGTTAGTTTTTGTGACAGACTGGTTCATTTGTGCCCTGAAGAAAAGGGGAACCGAGAGGATGTTAAGTAGGAGCCTGATATTGATGTGATRAGATCCAAGCCTTGGTCAAGTGATTGACAGGTTTGGTTCTGCATTTCCTAGCTAAAAGAAAACTTAATATAAAAATAACCCAGCATGTTTGGCAGAGAAGTAGTCAGTCAAATTAATCTTTCYGTCGTATTTTCAAAAATCTGTTGCWGTATTTGCAGACTGTTGCAGAAGATGAGAAGGCTGATGAAGAACCAGAAAAACAGCGGAAATTTCAGCTGTCCTCTCTTAATCCTCAAGAACGATTTGATTACTGCCATCTGATTGAGGAATTAGGTACCAGATACTTGGGAAATGACAGAATAATGTGGGTCTGTAAGCAGGTCAGCTGTGGCTCTCTTGGAAAAGAAAGGGCTTCTGTTAACGACTCACCAGATTTGAGGTCTCAAATTTATGACTTTCTGTGCTTGAGAGCTGTTCATTGACTATGTTGTCATTAATACCCAAGTTCATCAGCTCTGCCACARACTGCAAGGTCTTCTGGCATTTGCTTTTAGTTGTCTCCACAGCAGCCTCATTCTTTGCTGTTGGAGCATCCAAGAACCGCTGTGCTCTGGTGTCCCTTCCTGCCTCTGACACAGTGGCCCTTCTCTTAACAGAGCCACTCTTCCCTGCCCCTCCTTTCTTGCCCAGATCTCCTCAGTGATAATATTTTCATTGTAAATTTGAGTTAAGTGTCTYTCTATCTGAACTCAAAGAATTCCTGCCTTGAGGGGTGCTTTCTGTGGGGGACTGCCTGGCCCTTGATTAATTTGCCTCAAACCCATTCCTCTGTGCCAAGGTGGAATAGTGCTGGAGAAGCAGTGCTTCGATCCCAGCTGCACACACATCGTTGTGGGGCATCCGCTGCGAAATGAAAAATTCCTGGCCTCCATGGCAGCTGGGAAGTGGGTGCTGCATCGTTCCTACCTGGAGGCGTGTAGAGGAGCTGGCTACTTTGTCCAGGCACGTGACCTTACTATTGAGCAACGCTGTGTTGAACTTTTCATCTTGTCCTGCTAGGAGAGAGGGAATTTCTTAAGGGGATTAGCAGTTTGGGGTGCCCAGCCTTGGGACAACCTTATCCTTGTGCAGRAGAAATGAAGTATCTGTGCTTAGGAGTTGCTTCTGAAAATTGAAGCCTGAGCACCTCACTGGTGTCTAAGCACCTCACTAAATCCTCACTGGTGTCACCTGAAGTTAATGTGGATTTTGTTACACCAGGAACTAAACAGTCATCTTTCCCRCTCATGAATGTACTCAGTGTATAAAACAACTTCAATTGTTTTGGAAAAGAAATGTAGTAATGCAGATTAGTTGGTATTCAGACTGTGAGCTGTTTTGCACTGCTCTTGAATTTTCTTGTAGGTAACTGCAAGAGGAATTTAGCTSTGTGTAATGTGATTGATGTCTCGGAAAACATGAGCAGATTTTAAAACTGGGAAGACCAGAGTCTCTGTATTTTGTGTGTGTGTGTATTTTGATATATATGTTCAGTTAAGAGACATATCTCTGATTTTAATTAGGATTGCTTTAGCCAGGTAGAATCAATATACAAARCTAGAGCGAGCTGAGACTGGTTCTGTTTTTTAATTTTCTGCTGGCAAAGTTGGCAGGTTCCTTTGTAATTCAARCTTATGATTGCTCTAGGAAGAAGATTATGAGTGGGGAAGTGATTCCATACTGAATGTTTTGTCTGGAATCAATGTAAACCAGAAGAAACTAGCACTTGCGGCCATGAGGTGGAGGAAAAAAATCCACAAAGGAAGGCAAGAAACTGGTGTTGTTGAGGTATTTGGACTCTTATGCAATGTGTGTGACATGTTGTGGGAGGGCAGCACAGGGACTGTCACCAGCAAACCCAGAAACTGAAGTGCCAGGGAAAGATGATCTGCCCTGTTCTCAAGAACYGAGTGGTTTAGCTGGGTATGTCTTGTTCAACAGCTTTGTTTCCAGAAGGCTTTTGGTGGGGGTGTGTTAGTAATAAAAGCCTTGGGCTTCTCCTGAAGCCCTGTTGATGATTGCACAGCTCCTAGTGTAGGCAGATGTCCTGCAATCAGTCACCCTGTGGCTTTTATGCCCCACAGCTCCAGCTGCTGCATCGGGGCAGGCAGATCAGAGCTGCAGTGCTCTTGTAGCGGGGAGCACACTGACCTGCTWCAGGCAGCTCAGCCATCCTGGGCTCTCCAGAAGCACCTTGGGTGATCTGTGAAGTTCCTTAGTGTTCCACAGAGATTTTTGAACTGGGCTTGGGAACTTGGGCTTCTTTTTAATTAACTCCTCTGTCAAACCAGACCTTGCCAAGGAAGTCCAGTACTTGACAGAGCAGAAACACTGCCAGTGTTTCAGTCACATCCAGGTGATATTGGGTTCACGGGTCTCTTGCAACAGTTCTTAAATGAATCCTTGTGAAGCAAATCCTTGTACTCTTTGCCTGCTTGGAAACAGCAAGAGGTGTTTGTCCAAGGCAGCCAGTTGGCCCTAGGAGCTGTATTRCTGCACTGGTGCTGTTGCTGTAACCAAATAGATCATACAGTCCGGGGTGGGGGGGTTAATCAAATAGCTGTCTTTCTTACAAATGTGTTTCAGTAAATGAGGGTCTGTTGTACTAGAAAACCTCATTGCCAGGTGTTTTTTAATATCCTGGCTTGTCCATGTTGCTGTGCAGCTGAAGGTCAGAAGCGCTGGTGTGCGGCAGGCTGCCCGAGTGCGGGGCGGTGGCCCAGCCGCTGTAGGTTCTGCCTCTCGCCTGCCCTGTACAGCTGAAAAGGCAGAACCAGGGGACAGCACATCCTGGTCTGCCGCGYTGGAACCACGTCAATCCTGTCCTGGTACCAACATCCTCCTGGCTAAATTCAGTGTTTTACCTAGGGGGCCTTCAGCGGCTGGAAGGTGATCCTGAATGTCGATCAAACCAAGGAAGCTGGATTCAGGCGCCTTCTTCAGTCCGGAGGAGCAAAAGTATGGAGCTTTTCTTGGTTTATTTGCTTTAACTAATTAAATACGTTGTTTTACATTGTTTTGGTAGGTATTGGTACCATCGCTAAGCTGTGCACTGGTTAAAGGCTGTAACCAAAATTGCTTCTGTAGAACAGCTGAGAGGTGACTAACAGGTGGGAGAAGAAGAGCAGTGGTGTCTGCATGTTGCAGGAGTCAGTAATGGTGGAGGGGCTGCAGCGTAGAACATCTGGGCCCTGCTCCAAGAGAGGAATCACCCTTCTTGAAATGTGCATGATAGTGGAGAGCTCACCTGCAAGAGCAGTGCATTTCCCATCAGTCTGCTAGTTAATTTGATGAGCAACTTTCTAGGCTGTGAAGTGCATTGGTCTTCCCCAAGGAGCAAACACAAAAGCAAACCCATTTTTTGTCTGTTTTGCCTCCATCCCTAGGTGTTTTCTGGTCATTCTGGGGCTCTCTTTAAAGAAGCTACCCACCTCTTTGCTGACTTCAGCAAGCTGAAGCCGGAGGACAGCAGGGTTAAYGTGGCCGAGGCAGCCGCGCAGGGGGTCAGCTGCCTGAAGCCCGAGTACATCGCTGACTACCTCATCCAGGTGAGAGCCCCGCTGCCCCGGAGCCAGCCCGGAGCCAGCCCGGCYCCGCGGCCCTGTCCTGGCTGTGGGGACTGGGGCTTGCCAGAAACTGCGGCCACGAAGGCTCCTGCTGAGCATGTTGGTCCTTGCTTTCAAATGCTCTTCGCTAGGACAGCCCTTTCTCCAGCACTGGGAGTGGGGTCTGTTGCAGGGTAGGGAGCTTGTAAAATGTGCTCAAATTGTTGGGGTTTTTTTCCTGCTTTCTGCTTAAGAATAGACTGAAACTGTCCTCTCATCTTGAAAGCATCTCCTTAAGCTAATTTTTTTTTTCCTATTGAAGGAGCCACCTCCTCCGATGGAATCTTACTGCTTGCCAGAAGCTGAGTCTAACCTTCAGAATAACAAAGAACTTGGAACTGGATTATCCCAGAAAAGAAAAGCAACGGGAGAAAGGAGCAGAGCCAAACGATCCAGAATACACTGAGAAAATTCCCTGTTTTTAATTAGTTCATTTTTTAAATTCATATTTATATATTTTTTTCATTCTCACTACAATTAAAAGCTTTGAGTATCACTTTTAATTTGCCTCGAGATTACAATAAGTTTCCCATAACACTGATAGGAACTCTTGCTTTGGGCAGTGGCCGTTTCTAAAAACGTGAGTTTTGGTAAAGCACTCGTCAGAAAAAAAAGGAAAAAAAAACACGTGGCCTCCATAATGTTCTGATCACCGGCACTTTTTACTGACTTGTCTGGGGACACCATCCTATGATAATGGGTAAGATATGAGATGTTTAACACATCTTCCAGCTCTGTGCTGCAGCGTATGTATAATGAGGGAGTTGAGAATCCTTTTGCATTTGCTACAAAATAAGACATAGATCTTTGGGCAGTTTGGGAAGCAGGGATAAAAGACGAGAAGAACTGGCTCATAGTTTTTGGTACAAATACTGGGTGTACATAGAGACTGTAATAAATTATTTCTCTAAAACCCTCCGTCTGAGGCTCTGCCTTTGTGAATGCTAACTCCATTTTGCAAAGAGGAGACTACGTCAGAGCTGGAGTGGGTCTGATGACACTTCCTTGGTTGARGGTGCCAGGAAAAGGGCAGTGCTGCTGGAGGGGGTCCTGGCCAGGCTCTCCCTGGGCTTGATGAGTTCTTTAAGCTTCAGGACCTGTAGCCTGTGGGTCTCCGTATGGAGACATCACTGTAGGCCAGTTGTACCATACTGTGCTCTTAATAAAAACACTGTCTTTTCTGAGAGGCTGTTWATTCAGAGCTAGAAGAACKGCAACCCGGTTGAACAGGAAGGAAAAAGCCTGAAATTGYGTGGGACAAGGGGAAATAKCTGGAGGGGTCTGTATGTAACAGTTACAAAAAGTTAAAGTCTCTTTAACTTAAACCTCTAGGRACCAAAAGAGCTTGAACCTTGCTTGTTTTGAAGGTGTATGTGGAACGAGGAGAGGCGAAGCTTCTGCTTTTATTTTTTTCTGGCCATGTGAATAGTACATACTAGGACATCCTTCCCTCACTGGCATGGTGGATGCAAGAGAAGAGCAGCAGCAAGTGCCCAAGTGAGGTGGTGAGACCACACCATCCTGCACTTGCTTTGCCCCTCTGGATCCTGTAAGTAAGCGCAATTCTTCACGCAAGCTACTTCATGCWGAGGATGGAGCCCAGGCTGCAACACAGGCAGATACCAGGATCAGCAACACAACAGGCGTGAGACAGAGGCAGAAGTAGAAATTCAGTTGCTGCTGTAAGATAAATTTATTATTTTCTCCAGCTTTCTTCACAGGAAACATCACAAAAGTGCTTTACAGAGTTTCATACAGTTACGCTAAGGGAGGGAGAAAAGACAACAACTGCACGTTTAGAGGTTTTCATATGCAGAAGCCGTGATAGGTAAACCAGGGTTAAAGAAAAAGAACRACCCTGACAAAATATATATGTGTTATGAACTTCAAACTTAAATAATGACTATAAACATAGAAAATCATATAAATATACAGGCACCACGAGGCTCCTGTGTAAACTGTGGGGAACCGTGTGGGGCCTCTCTGAAACAGGAGCTGCTGGATCCGCCTTTGCCGGAGCCCTTTCCGCAAGGCAGCGGGGCCCTGGCCGCGCGGTTCCCCACGCAGACCGCGTCCTTCTCCCGCCGCCATGAGCATTCCCGGGGCTGCAGCGTTCCCTCAGGTTAGCGGGCACGAGGAGGCATTCCCGCTCGGAGGCGAAAGCGGATTCAGTTCATAGAGAAGTAGAGAGCACAGAGAGCTGCTCTTATCTATCTCCTCCCTCCTACCTCTCACTGCTCTCTCCCTGATCTTCACACAGTCATCTCATATTTAAAAAAAAAACAGGGTTCCCGGAGGCTGTGCCCGTGCTTGTTGGAACAGCGGGGAAGGAAGCGCACAGGATAAGGGTCCTGCTACTGACCTGTCCCAGTCCGTGGCCACTGCTCCTTCCGTTTTGCTTCATGGAGCCCTAGGGCTCTAAGTCAGATGGAACGAGGCCCTCGAGGAGCTTTGGAGGTGCTCGGTTGGTGTGTGACAAGCTCCGGTGCTGCGGAAGCCGAGCGGCACCAGGCGTGCGTATTTGCTAAGCGTGTGGCAGCAGCCAGGGCCGCGTGTGCGAGGCGGGAGAGGGCCCTGCCCAAGGAAACGCAGGGGCCGCCCGCAGGCCAGGCACCAGGCAGGGAACAACGGCCACATACTCCGTGTTCTCGGCTCGGCGGAGGGACGGGGTCTTTGCTCGTCCTTCCGAGCGGCAGGAAACGCCAGCGGAGCCGGTTACCCAGCACACRGGGTCACCTGTCCCTGAGGAGCCTTCGGCCTCATTCCCAGGCTGAGCAGTGCTCAGGGAGGAATAGCAACGGCCGAGGCCTACGGAGCGGTTAGTTAAAACTTGGCCACGCTGCTGCCGCTCACTGAACCCCAGTCTTGCCCCTGCCTAAATCCCTTCCCGCTGTGTATTAAGACACATGGGAAGGGTGCCAAGTCCCACATTCAGACAAATTCAGGGTAAACTTTCTCAGTGTAGCCCCCCCCCACACACACACACCCCAAATTAAGATCTGGAAAAAAAAAAACAAACAAGGAAGCAATCCATCACTCCTCCAATCTGCAAGCTTTAAAAATYCTCCTTCAGGATTCCCTCAAAAATAAGGTAGGACTGTATATAAAGCACCTGATAGAACCCCCCACTTATCAGGTGCCTTATATATAAGCTATACTTTATCCAACATATAGTAAACCCTCAACCATATACCGTGATGAGCAGCAAACCCAGGTGGTCTGTGTGATGTGATACCCAATACTGGGAGAATGCAGCTCTTATGGGAAGACTCGAGCCCTTTTAGGATGCATAGCCCACCTTTCAAGCCGCCTTTGCATTCATAAACACAGCATTACTTGTAAATGCAATCAACATTTAAAGGCAATATCTTATTTACAGATGTAATATCTCTAAATTATCAGTTGCAAATGCAAAGAGATGAAACAAACCACAAAAGCCTAAGCCTGGCCCCAGTGTTGCTACATTCACCTTCCCCCCAAATACTGTAATTTCCCTGCCAAGTGCGACTACCACAGTGCTAGATTCAGTGTGCCTGGGCCTGTTTGCTTGTCTGAGACAGCATCATGTCTCTGCTTYAGCTCTGCCAGATTCAAAGAAAAAAATAATCCAGAAATTTAAAGCAATGAGCCTTTTTTTTGTGTGCTTGACTCCAACTGTTAGAGCTAGACTTCTAATAAGATCTCAAATCAAATTTTAATGAAACTGATCTCAGTGACAGAAGTAGGAATAACTCCACCAATACCAATGAAGTCAGGCTGTAGGAGATCAGCTTCGTGCCTGTTTTACTGGGTTCTCACTGCATTTGTTCTGTGTGTCAGCCTGTTTTTACGGTTTGAATCGTTCTGGTTGCACACTCTCTGAAAGAGGTCCAACATAAGTGGTTTGTTCTAATCAAAACAGAAAGCTTATGACAGCATTTTAAGCAACAGGTTCCTACAGGTAAATGATTTCAAATAAAGCAGACAGCTGTAACTCAAGGACTTCAAAGCTACCACAACTGGGCTAGAAATAAAATTCAGTAGAGGAGAAAGGCAATCGAGAAGGTCAGATCCAAATAAAAGCAAAGAGAAGCGTGCCATGCTAGTCACTGGGAAGGAGAGGGAATGTATGAAGCTGTCAGTGCCTAGGCCAGCAACAGGCAATGCCCGTAGGCAGTGAGGAGGTGCCCCAGCACTAGGGACGAGGGCGCCTGCCAGGGTAAGCCAAGTGGCGGCRTGAACTCGGCAAATCAACGCGACCCAATGTCAGCAGCAACAAAATACGAGGCGGTGAACGCTGGAAAGGYTTAAAGCACTCATACATGCTCTGGTGGATTCGGAATTAGTGGTGATCTTTCAAGGGGACGATCTAGGCATCACCATGGACAGCTTGATGAAGACATCTGGTCAATGTGTAGTTTCAGTCAAGAAAGCGAATAAGATGTTAGGCTGTATTAAAGACAGAACAATAAGGAAAAATATTACAGCATGTATTTCCCTTCGGTCCTTAATGACTACTTGCTGTTTCACCAGCACCTTGAAAAAAGAGACACATTAGAAAAAATACAGGGAGGACAGTGATAAGGCAGAAGCAGCTCTTCACAGCTGGAAACTTAGTTAGTACAAGGCAATTTATTTCTGAAGGGGAAAATATGGATGMTACAGAGCTCAAAAGTACTTTGTGACCTTTCTTTAGCTACGTAACAGGACATTCCTCCACATGGTTTTAAGCCAGCGAGTAGTTTTTGCCATTATAGCTGCACGACAAAACACGGCTCACCCCCACAGGCCGGCCAAAGCGGCCCGGGTGGCATCCCGTCACGCTCGCCTTGCAGCCAGGGGAGCAGCTCCGGCACCGCCCGCGCGCCGCCGCGCATCCGCCGCCAGTCCTGCCGCGACGCGGCCCAGGCGCCGCTGCGGGAGCTGCGGGACACAACGGCCACTGGGGCCCAGGCGGCACCCACGTGTCCCCACGGCCTC